ATTCTGGTTGCTTGGGTTTGGGTAAGGAATTACTCAAATAAGGTACCCAGAAAAGTAATTAAATAAGTATAAATAATGTATACAATTGTTTATATAACTGTATCTGGCCCCTCACACTAGCAGAGCAAAATTAGGAAGGTGCTATACTTGAAGTCAGCCTCTCTACTTAGGAATATTCTTTTGGCTGCTGCTTTATAGAAGTATATTTGGAGGACAATTGTGGATTTGAATATGGCGTTTTAAGACAATACCTCAGAGAAAATTCTGCAACCCAAAACTTTCTCATGCACTACTTATCAATTGTTTCCTAATTCTGAGATTAAACGAAAGTCAAACACTCAACAAAGGACTACACCCTGGGATGAGTCAGAAGATAAGATCAGGCTTTTGTCAGTGCCACACAAATGCAGTGATCTGTGAAATGTAAACATTGCCTGGCAGAGGAATTCAAGGTGGTACAAACTATTTAAGCTCCAAAAGTTTTGGGTCCCGAAACAGCACCTCTCTGCATGTCATACAATGCTGCAGCTGCAAACAGAGGCACGAAGTGCAGAACTCACTGCAGAGCAGGGTAGGGATTGCAGCAGCACACTGCCCTGCAAGCACTCTTAGTGTGGAAAGTCCTTTCCCTTGGGGACTTGTTAACTCTCCAGGTACACTGCACAATGTTTACAGGTGAATGGTCGTTAGGAAACACTGGAGAGTTGGAATTTGATGAAATTATAAATTGGAAATAAATTATGGAAAAGGTAACAAGAAAACTTAAGCAATTCAGTGTAACTGAAACCTGAAATACTGCCCCATATTGGGCATATACAGAGATACTTAGTGAGGTATTAAGTTGCACTTGATCTGAACACAAACTGTCATCACCTTCCCTGACAAACTTCCATTCTTGGCTAAACGTTTCTCTCTCCTGCCAACTCATCACAAATTCTTCAAACATTAAGATCTTGTTTTAATGCAAATATACATCAGGCAGAGAATACACTGCGTCTAGCAGTGAAAATATTGTTTATTTTTGTGCACTGTAGCAAGTGCATTAGGAAACTGTCATGGTTAATAGGTTATACATACATCATCCTTCACTAACATGCATATTTGCTTGGTTCAAGGAAGTTATTTGAATTTTCTGAGTGCTGGCTGTCATTTTCTTCTGAGTATAAAAGCACAAAAAGGGAAGGAATTCGTGTTCAGTGAAGTAGGAGAGGAAAAAACCCCAAAGCTGACCAAATCCAGTTTGAAAAGGCCATTACTGTTATATTGCAGTACTTGTATTTCTGTAGTGTAGCTCCTTTGAGTATCTGCCACACTAAACAACTGCAAGTAAGAAAATGCTTTTTCATAGCCAAGGAACATTCTTCATACACACACTCCCATGGTGATGCTCTTTCAGCACACAGCAGTCATCAATGCAATTTTTTATTCAGGGAGCTGTGCAGTTGCTCTAGGCCTTGGGAATAGACACTAAAATCTCAAGTCAGATCAGGTGATAATGTGCTTCAATGGCCTGGAAGAAGGTGTGAGCAGTGCACAAATAACATCTGTATTATTAATCAGGAAGTAGAATCAGATTAAAATTCAGTACCAGAGACTTGTGTTTATAATGCCACTTGCTGATATCAGAGACTTTTTTTTATTTTTAAAATAAATGTTTTAACTAATTGTGGCAGTAAACTTTGTAGAACGTGATCCAAATATAAACAGGGAACAATAAGAACCTGGACGTTAACACACCTTTCAGAGGTGCAATTATACCTTATCCTTTAGTCTCAGCGATTGATAATTTTCTATTTTATTTCTATGAAGAACTACCTTTCCACAGCCAAAACAGGTTTCTGTAATACTTAACCAATTGTAGCAAATCTCTTCATCTGTGAATCCCCCGGTGTTGGCTGTGTTTTAAACGGGTAACTGTCTTTGATTGCGTACTGTTCAAGGAGAAGGACTGTGCCAACCTTCATGCTGTTATACCACTCAGGACACAGTGAACTCCACAAAACCATTGATGTCATGCCTGAACCATCAGCAACTTCAAAATAAGCCTAGAGGAAAAAAAGAGATAATATTTATTCATTTTTTATTTATCATCATTCTGGTATGTGTTTATTTTGGGTAATGAACCAGCTACTTGACTCGTGAGCAATTTCTCTGATGATTACAATGGATATAGAGCATGTTCCAGAACTTGTATTGAATACTAGAGTGGAAAAAATCCCCACTTTCCGCAAAGAATTCTTCCACAATTACCTCAGCCCAAACTCTAACCCTCCCAGTGCTCAGTAATGGCAGGATGACACCAATTTCACTCCGTGGCTTTTGGAGGAGGTCGGGGAAATCCCAACCACAAGAAACAGCATGGAAAAGATTCTTCTTTATCGCTGAGAATGCTGTATTTAGAGTTACATTTCTAAGTATCCATGAAGGAAAAATGTATTTTGGAAGCTGAGAAGTTACAGGGACATTCACTAAACGTTCCTGATCAAAAAACTATACAAGTCTGATTTCCCGGCAAAAAAAATAATGCAGAGAACAAGGTACTTTGCAAACCACTATGTTATCATTGCAGTTTTTCTCACTACAAAGTTTGCTACATTTTTTTTTTCAAACTGGGCAAACACTGAATCCATAACTGAGTAGATCACTGAGCAGTAAAAAAGATTTTTAAACAGTCTTAGAATGATCTTACAACATAGCAATCCACTGAAAAGAAAACCTCAGCTAAAATATATTAGGAAAGTAATTAAGAATTTTACAATAAAATAATCTATCTGGAAGTTACTTAAAAGTTGCTCAAATGTATTGCCTTTTTTTTTTTGACAAGACACTCCAACTTCCAAAGCATAAAGAACAGAAACATTAAGGCTAGTCAACTACTAAAACCTCCAAATATCTGTATTTCTTCACAAAAAGCTCAACTGAACTATACTAACTGAAACACATCCACCAGTTTGTAAATATGACCACTAAATGTAGCATTTCCTACTCCAAAGGGCTCAGCACTTTTTCAAGGCAGCAAATTTTTCATATTTTTCAATATAAAATAGCTACAACATAAATCTTAACTTTACGAGCTTGTAACATGGGAAAAATTATTTTCAAATATCCTACACCTATTTGTTTGAGTGTTAACCTACGTATTTATGCCTCTTTACCTGATAAGGCATATCCATTGCTTTCCCTGGTTTTCCGTAGTACCTTAGTCTAGATTTGTGCAGGATTCTCACAAGGAGTGGATGGAAGCGCACTCTGCTTCTCCATGTCATTTCCAGATGACCAAGATTAGTCAGCTTGGACACTAAGGTCAAGGGGGGGATGAGAGGTGGGGGAAAAGATCAGAAAAGAGCATTCATGATTGAGCATTCAAGTTTTCAGGAGTAAAGTTCTCAGACCAGGATGTCATATGTATTTTCATAATGTTTCTAACATCAAAAAAGGCTCATTTGTTGACGCCATTCACCATTAAATCCTGTTATGAGCTATCTGCACACAGCATAGTTTTGCTTTGTATTTTTAATTGAAAGAGAGCGATGACATATTTAAAATGACACAGAAGTGCTGTCACATGACCAGAAGAGCTACTACAAAAAACAGGCATTAGCCAACACAGGCAGCACACACTTGCGCAGAAGTCCTGCTTGTACCTCCCTCCTCACCAGGCTTCATGGAATGGCCCAAGCCCCTCAATACTGAGCACGCTTTGGGTGCCAGCTGCTGGATCTGAGCACCCTGTCCCACAGACCAGACATGAGACTACTACTGGACTGGCTGTTTTTAACACTTCAGAAGACTGGGCACAAGCACCACAGCTACAGGTTATCAGTCAATGTTTCGTAGAGTTTAAAAAAAAAAACCTCTCGAAGTAACACAGAGTCACAGAATGGGTTAGGTTGGAAGGTATCATCTCCCAGCCATGGGCGGGGACACCTTCCACTAGACCAGGTTGCTCCAAATCCAGTCCAACCTGGTTTTGAACACTTCCAGAGATGGGGTATCCAGAACTTGGCAACTCTGGGCAACTTGTGCCAGTGCCCCACCACCCTCACAGGGAAGTTTTTCCCCGCTACCGAATGTTACATGAGCAAGTGAACTGTGATACAGGTGGCACACTTTGGCAGTGCCAAACACAACTGGTGGGTCACCAGGGATCTCAGCCCTGCAGCACAAGCCATCACAGAATCAATTAGGTGGGAAAAGACCTCTCGGATCGTGGAGTCCAACCTATGACCCAACACCACCGTGTCAACTACATCATGGCACTGAGTGCCACGTCTAGTCTTTCCTCAAACACCTCCAGGGACGGTGACTCCACCACCTCCCTGGGCAGCCCATTCCAATGTCTCATCACCCTTGCTGTGAACAAATTTTCCCTAACGTCCGACCTTGAACCTCCCCTTAAGACTATGTCCCTTTGCCCTATTGTCTGGGACAAGAGCCCGACTCCCACCCGGCTACAACCTCCTGTCAGTAAGGTCTCCCCCGAGTCTCCTCTTCTCCAGGCTAAACACCCCCAGCTCCTCAAAGGACTTGTGCTCCGGACCCCTCCCCAGCTCCGCTGCCCATCGCAAACCACCGCGCCGCCTCCTCACTGGGGGATCCCCAGGAAAGGGCACCTCCCGCCTTCTCCCCTCTTACCGTCCACATCCACCTGCGCCGGGGGTCTGTCGGGCATCCACACGTCCCCATAGGGATCCTCGTTGTTCCAGAGCGGCAGGTAGTGCCTGTTCTCGCCGCGGAGGGGCTGGAGCGGGCGGGTGCCGTCGGGCGGGGTGCCCGCGGCGGCGGCGGTGTCTCCCGGCCCCCCCGCCCGCTCCAGCCCCTCCAGGCAGAGGAACCCGCGGTTCAGCCGCTTCTCGTCGTAGCGGTACGAGCAGCGCGTGAGGCGCAGGCGCGCGCCCGTCCGCAGACGCGCGCGCTGCACGAGCCCGTTGAGGCGCGGCGCGAGGTGGCAGCGCTGCCGGCGCGCGCCGTCCGCGAGCGTCACGTCGTACCAGTACTGAGGGGCCGGGGGGGCGGCCGGGGGCGGAGGGGCCTGCGCCAGGTACCGCTCCACCGCCACCACCGTCACCGCCGGCGGCTCCGCGGGCGCCACGCTCAGCTGCGAGGAGCCCCGCACCTCCTCGAACACCTTCTGCAGCCAGGAGGCCCCGCCGCCGCCGCCGCCCTCCGCCGCCGCCCGGCTCTCCTCGGCGCGCTCCGGGGTAGGGTCCTGCATGACAGCGTCCTGGCGGCCGCTGCAAGGCGAGAGCCGCGGCCCGGGGCGCTGCCGGGGCGGCGGCGGGGGGTGGCAGAGACAGCGGCGGCCGCAGCGGCGGGTTCCTGCTGTCATAGGCCGAGCCGGGGCGCCGCCGCCATGGCGCGCGGGGCGGGGCCGCTGCGCGCGCGCGCCCTTCAAACCGCCAACGGCCGCCAACGGCGGGGGCGGGGCCGGGGCCGGGGAGGGGGAGCGGAACGGAACGGAACGGAACGAACGGCACGGGCACCGGGACGGGAATGGGAACGGGAATAGGAACGGAAATGGGACTAGGAACGGGAACAGGAGAGGGAGAGCGGCTGCGCTTGGGTGCAGGGACGAAGTGGAGGCCCGGGGAAGAGGTCGGCGATGAGCGGCCGGGTAGCGGCGGAAGAAGGGCGTGGGGGTTCCCGGTAGCCGGCGGGCGTTTCCCCAGTGGCCTGGGGCCCGCGGCTGCTCCGGTGCTGGCCCGATGCCCGCCCTGGTCTGTGCCTTGTGGCGGTGCCCGGGAGCTCGGGGGTGCCGGGGACCCCCCGCTCCCCGTTGGTAGGACAGGGGTGCCGGGCCTGGCGGCCTCCTGGGCACCGCCTTGGTCCCAGCGTACCTTAGGGACTTCCTGCTGCACCTGTTCCCGATTCCGTTTAAGTGGATGCACAATACTCGTCATAGCTTCTACCTCACCATCCCAGCGTGTTCCTGGTTGGAACGGAAGAGTCTCGTGCTAGTTCCTGAGACTGTATTTACCTTTTACACAGTTACAGTGTCTGGGTAATCGTCATCAACCTGCCATTAGAACACTATTGAGTCTTTTTTCTTTGTTGTTTCCATCGTTAGAAGAAATTCTTAGCAGTGGACCCTAAGCCTGTGACCTTATTTATATAATAATTGATTCTTGTCCCACTGCAACTATCAAGATCATCCTATTCTTTATTGTACCATAAAATCACAGAATGGTTTGAGTTGGAAGGGACCTTAAAGACCATCTAGTTCTAACCACCTTGCCATGGGCAGGGACACCTTCCACTAGGCCACTTATGATATTAATGAAGCTTCTGGAAATTAAGAACTTTGTATTCAATACTTTATTAGCACTCGCTAATACATATATTATATGTATTTTTTTCTATTGGAAGACACGTCTCTTGTATGAGGAAAGGCAGGGAGCTGGGCATGTTCAGCCCAGAGAAGAGAGGACTGAGAGGGGACTTTATCAATGCACACAAATATCTGAAGGACAGGTGTCAGAAGTAAGGGAGCAGCCTCTTTTCAGTGGTGCCCAGTGACAAGGGGAAATGGGCGCACAGACTGATACACAGAAGTTCCATCTGAATAGGAGGAAAAAATTTCCTTACCTTGGGGGTGACAGAGCACTGGAACAGACTGCCCAGACAGGTTATGGAGACTCCTTCTCTGGAGATATTCAAAAGCCATCTGGATACAATCCTGTGCTCCCTGCTCTAGCAGTGAAGTTGGACCAGATGATCTCTACGTGTCCCTTCCCACCCCAGCCATTCCATGGTTAGGCTAAAGAGCAACAGTACATAGTGAGGAGAAAGGGGTAAAAAGAAAGGCCAGGAAGAGCAGCAGCTTCCAGTCTTTATAGTGTTACTGGTCCAGATAGTCTTTGGAAATCCAGGAGACTAAAGTGGGGCTGCAGCTTAGGCAGAGCTGGTCAGGTGCTGGGCCAGAAGGAGCTCTCAGTTTACAGCTTGAAAACGATTGTATTCTTAGTCTACTCCCTTTACCATCGTGGAGCATTTGCTGTGGGGAAATTGGAAAACCTGTTGCTTGAACCATTTCAAACAGAGTGAAAAACTAGACAAAGGGGTATAAACCCCAAGCTTTTTCTGGCCTTTAGACTTTCCTAGGAATGGTGTGAGTTTATGTATTTCATGTAACATGCATTCCTTAGTGAGAAAATTTAAAACAAATCAGTCATTTGTCTTATGTTGAAGCCAAGTATTGAGTAAAACTTCCGCATGGTGTCTTTTTCCCCCCCAGTAAACACACGACTTGTTGCATGGACTGATAAAATGGCATTTACCACTGAAAAAAATGAACATGACCCAAACACTGAGGTTGGACAGGATGTGATTTCACATCACATACAAGCCTTACCTGGAGAGCTGTGGTGTAGACTTTTTTTTAGTTATTAAATGAACCTATAGGAATAATGAGGAAATCTGTGGACTGTTGCCAGCTTATCCCTACTTTTGTCTGTCCTCAAGATTTGATTTGCAGAAGAAACTTATTTATACAGAAGTAACTGTTACATGTACATGTGTTGCCAGATTTTTTTGTTATTGTAAGTCACTGCGGTTTTATTAATGGAAACTGAAGCTGTAGCTTTTGTGGAGCAGTAATGGACTGATGTGGACTAATAGGAGTGTTAATACTTTATATTGCATAAATGTGTATGCACTGCAGTTTCAGATACAAGATAGTTTGTTCTCTTAGGAACTTGGTCCTGTTACCTTCTCTCTCACCAGCAGAGGTCTAGCTTACCTACTGACTTCAAAACAGGGTAAATCTCTTTTGCTGACAGCATGTCAACAACATGTTTTCATGACTGCTTATGTCTTTGAATTCTTCTAGGTGTGATTTCCCTACCATAACTGAACAGTGGGACCGATGTGATTGTATTAAAAATGGGAAGTTCAGAAACACTTGGAGAATCAGTAATCACTGGAGATGAGCCATCAGCAGGTGGCTGTATCGAATCACAAAACCAGAGATTTGTGTTATGTTGAGCCTGTTCCATTGGGATGTGTGAGGAGCTCACTGAAGGCAGTATCATTTTTATATACTTACAACCAAGTGTGCTGAACCATACCTGTGTTCACCTCTGGGGAATCAATAGTCTGGAATTCTCAGAGATAACGAGCAGTCAAGCATCTTGGTTTTTATGTACAACACACCTTAAAAAAACAGCAGTTAGCCTCTACAGCAGTGACAGTGAGGAATGAGCTATGCTGTGTAGGAGGATGTGATTACATTCTGTTAAATATTAAATTTAAAATATGTTGGAGAAATGAAAGGCACAAAAGAATAAAAGGTGAGGCTCTAGATTTAAAAATATTAGTTGGTGTGCAAGATCATGAAGCTTACTGTAAAAGTTGTTCACCACAAAGTGTTTTGAGGACAAAATGGGAAAGTTTTCTGATGCATTTCACCATTATCTCCTAGGTGCTTTTGTTGAATCTTCCTAGAAAATCACAGGAAGCGGTTAAATAATGCTAAAATAACATTTTAGGTGATTACCCAGCTGACATCCCCTTGCCCTTTAATCAGCTCTATGCACTTTAAAAAGCAGTTTAAGAAAGTGGTGGGCTATCAGCAGGAAAATCTCTTACACTTTTGGTGTGTGGAACCTTGATATATTGCACAGGTTTTAGAATCTATAGAAGTCTTTTACATAGACTTTGCTTATGCTTCATTTGCTTATGCTTCATTTAACTTAAATACAACTGCCTAAACATGGAACTGAACTTTTAAGCCAGCTTGTATGATGGTCTTTGGAGAAACAATTTTATTCCAGAGCAATCTGACACTGCAAAACAAAGTACTTGTAAATGTAAAACAAACCAGTTCTTGTAGCATCAATGACTGCAGGGTGTGATTTTTGTCTAGTTCCACTGCCCTCATCTCACCGGGTATTTGTGCAAAGAGAAAGGTGGATGTGCAGAAATTCACCTGTGAAGCTCAGCACTGGCTGTCACCGTTACCATCACTCTGTCTAGGCTGGACTCACACTGTCACCTCGACATCTTTATCCACTGCAAGGAAATATATTCCTTTTGTCCCTATAGGCAGATGTTGATGTTTCCCTAAGGACAGTGAATGGATTTGGAAAACAATAACAAAGGTTTCTAAGATTTTTACAATAGCTTATGTCATTATAACAGCATGATACTAGTTTTGAATTTCAGAGTATTTTTATTACTGTTTCAGTTGTACAATTTCAGCATTAGGAAACAATACATAATATACAGTACATGGCTTGCGTTGTTCCCAGGTTTTAAAGTTATGTGTCAAGGTTCAAGCTGCAGAATAGAGTTCACCATTCCTAAAATGAAAGCAGGCACATACGTACAGTTCTATTAGCGCAATCCTGTGTGGCAAAGACAACATTAGGAGCACCACCTGCCATTAGGACACTGCATGTACCAAAGGATTACTGACATGGATCCTTAACGTTCTGCCCCACTGCCCCTGTGGCACTTGTTCATGTCAAAGTGACATCACTAGAAAAACACATTAAGCAGTTCAGTCCTTGGTTTCAAAAGTTAGTGAAAGGCCACAGCTAGTGAAACACCTCACAGAATGAAGCTACAAATCTGATACACATTTTGCATAGTTAAATTTATGTCTGGATAAACTTAGATCACTGGATTTTTGTTTTCTTCTGGCCTTTGTACTTTTGCTTCAAGCTGAACAGTTATTCAAAACACTCTCATTCAGTGTCCCCCAGTCACTCCAGATACCTTTCCATTTCTTTGGTTGCTCTCTTTTCCTTAACACCTCTTAACCTTTTGTATTCCTCCTACAGCTGAGCCAGACATCCACTCCCTCCCCTTTGGCTACTCCTACTTATTTTTCTTCAGCTTTTCCCTCTCTTCCTCTTCAGTCATTTCCACTCTCTTCTGTTACTCTTCTCAACGTCTCTGGGCTCTTTCTCATCTTCAGCCATTCTGACTGTCTCTTGATAGACAATGCTACAGTCTTCTTGTTCCATCCAGTTGCTATTGCTATTTGCAATACCACTTCTAAATCCTTTAAAAAGCATTCACCTCTAAGGGCCTCATTCTTTCCATACTTACACATGGGTATAACCCCAAAAATTCCAACCGTTTTACCTAGTAAGTAGAAGATGAAAATTCAACCCGCTGCCTTGAATTGTAGCTGGAAAGAAGAGAGAGCTAATAGAGGAAGACAGAATGAAAAAATAAAATCCCAATGTAATAGTGCACATTCCCGCTCTTGAATTTGGAGTTGTTTGTTCTTTCCCTCTCGGTATGGAGTTAAACATCTCCACAGTGTGTCAACTTACTGTCACAATTTTCTGTTACAATAATCTTAAACAAGTTCAATGACATTTGCTTCTTTGATATGGGTTGTTGTTCTAAATTTCCACTGTTCTCTGCTAAATTCTTCTTAACTAGCATCAGGGAAAAAATCAGCCTTCTACCTGTTGACACCAGAACAGGGGAGGGGAAATATTCACACGCATCCCCTGTAATGCAGAGGCTGCTGAGATAAGCACACTTTAAAAATATTATAGGGCAGCCTGGATCACTTGATTGCTTATAGCACGAACAGTTTTGCAAGCAAGTTTTGCACACCTACTGTGTGCAAAATGAAAGCTGTTCTTCCTTCACAGTCTCTCAGACTCTTAAATCAAAAGCAAGTAAGTTGTATTTCTGATTGTCTGCAACTTATTCTTTTGCCTATAATTGTAACTTTAATCTCTGTTTCTCTTACAGGTTTAGGCTTATTTGGTTTTGTTGTTTTTTTTGTTTTTTTTTTTTTTGTTTGTTCTGTGAAAATTGAACTAAACAAGCCCAGTGTTCAGTAGCATTGGAAGCCACGCCAGGTTTTGCTCATTTGCCCCAGCCCTGGCACTGGCAACAGGTAGGAACATTACTACAGTCAGACAGAGCTCCTGTTGTCACACAGCTCTGCCAGAGCACAGCTCCCATTCAGATTTCAAGTCTGCTCACAAGTTGGTTACTTACTTACATTAAGAACCACATTGAGTATTTAACTGCAGATTTTTTTAGTATGGCTTTAGGCTTATTTTTCTGTTAGTTAAACATTTTAAAGGAAAATACTTCATAAAAAAAACCCTACACATTTTGAGATAAACTAGTGCCTGTGAAAAGTGTGAGGTTAAATAACTTTGGAAAGTACAGTCCTCCACATAGCCAAAAATATAGACAGCTAGAGTGCAGACATCTCTGACCTGCCTGCAGCAGTTGAGGTGCCAACACGGGGAAAGGGGAAAAGGGTAATTAGCCCCTAGTTTGATTCTCTGCTGACATATACAAGGATATGAGTTCTGAGCACCTGTCAGTCACTGCACGACTGCCAACACTAAATGAACCTGTCATACTGTACAGCACACCTACCGGTTTGAACAACTTCATTTCTGCCTTCCTTAGTCAACATAGAATCATCATCCTTGAGGTAGACGACCAGATATTCCACTACACTTTCCCTGCACCTTTCAGTATCAAATATTTCAAGTAAAAAATACCTATTTTCAAACACTGTAGCTAGTGATTTCACTTTAGTATCACCCATACTGTATCATGTCTGGAATGAGCTCTTTTGTATTACATTTGATGCTTTACATTTTCAAAGCACATCCAAAAATCAGCTAAATGAGGATTGCATTAAACCCTACAATTTAATCATAGTATATGATTATATATAGTATATATATATATATTATATCTCTATAGTTTTATGGCCAAGTTATAAGCCCCTGAGAACAGAGTTTATGCAGAAACACTGGCACCAATAACACTAGTGGACGCAGCTTTATTTAGATGTAATTAGCATAGAAAGCACCTGGAATTATTTATATTTTCTATTTATAATAGATTAACTCTTTGGATAATTTCATAACTATATTAAGAATACATTTGTTAATCTTAACATCCATTGCAGAAAGATTATATTTACACACAAATACACAAAGACTTGATGTGAAAGAGCAGAAAGGAAGAAAAGAAGGTGCCTGATCCTGTGCCCTTATTTATATACATGGGTAGTGCCTTTAAGTCAACTTGTATGAGTGTGGGTCCCAGGTGTGGATAAAAATTACAGGTTCTGGTCCATAATACTTTATGCATCTATGATTTTGACAAACTACTATTTAAACTATTTTTACAAATACATTCTACAGTAACTGTGTCTATGGGCTCAGGCATCCAGCCCTGAGAGAAACACAAAGTCTGCATTTGTAAAAATCCCCACAACATTTTAAGAATTCGCTGTTTTTACAACTCTGCACTGGAACACACCTGTCCAGCCAGCACAGGGGACGATCCCTCCAGTGTCCCAGGCTGTGCTGGGACCTACCAGGAACAGTTTCTCTTTATTATAAGACTTGGACAAGCGAGTCTTGGTGAAACAGTAACAGCTTGCTTGAAATGCAAAACAAGCCCAAATGCAACTCAAAATAGATTCAAATTGTGTTTTTATATCTACCTGCAAATGTTGCTGTCCAAAAAAGAGACTTCAGTTCAAGATAACAACATTACATTATCTGTGAAAATGAAACCATACACTTTTCAGAGTACAGGAGCTTCTTATATTGGCTGCATTCTTCATTAAAGTCTCCTAATACAATCTTGGTTTGAAACATACTTTAGAGAACAAACTAAACATGTTTGCAATACTTTGACAGGAAAACGGAATTCTTTCCAGACTGAAAGAATATGAATTTTGTAAGTCAATAATGACAACATTTTTGTAGGTAAAAAGTGCAAATTTGTGTATATTACCTCTAAGAATTTTACACTGCTACCTACAGGGAGTTTCAAAGCGTCCTTCTTTTGATGTGCTTTACCAGTTGAATAGTACATTTTGACCAAGAGTCATAAAGTATATTTGACTGCTGCCTCCTGACTGTACAGATGCAAAGAACACCTTGAAGGGGGAAAAAAAAAAGAACAAAACATTATGCTACTGTCAGTTTACATTTATGAGAATATTTTTACTCATATAAGAAGTTTGATAGAATGCCACAGTCCCAAATACAAGGATATATGGATATCACAAATCAACTTTAATCCCATGAGAAACTTCTTAAAGTGAAACTCTACTTGTGGTACAACTGGATTTTTCTTAATATATATTTCTTTTCTAATTTGAAAAGACACAGGAGAACATTTAAAAAGAATTTAAACAGTTTGGGGGCCCCAGATTTTCAAATATGACAGTGGGACTAAGAAGGTTTCAGAGAACATTTATCAAAATTGCTATATACAAGAAATCAGACTTGATTATCCATACTTTGGTGTCTGCAATTAAGAGTGTTGTGGGTTTTTTTTCTCCACGATGGCTGCTCTGAACTGCCTGTAATTTCAGTAGCCCAGGAGAGGCAGTCCTGTAGCTGGGTGTTTTTGGGGCTGACTCACCAGCCCTCCCCACTATACCTGTGGTGTGGCCAGTTAGCAATGTCTGTATTTATCACCTCTGATAGCAGTGAAGGCTGGGTGGAATAGGAGTTCTAACAGAGCTGGTGGTGGGAAAGTGCAGAATATCCATAGTGAGGGTTTTGTGGGATCAGTGACTACACTGGCTTTGAATGGGGAAGTTATACTAAGGTAAGAAATAACCAATAACAAAGTTACAAAAATTAACTGGTCTTCGTGTCATAGTCAGCTATTACTCATTTTTGTTAAATCACCACACTCAGTAACCTCTGTACCTTGTCATTTCTTTCACAAAGAAATTTTAGCTTCTGTGCTTTCTTGTGCATAAATACTCCTTCCAGATTTCCTGTCTCCACAGAGCGTAGTTCAATGGCTTTCTCTCCCCAGCCCATGACCTGATTAGACTGAAGGTAAGCTAAAAGAAAAAAAAGAGAAAAAAATAATTTATACTATTTAACACCTGAAAGACTGATTCTTGCCTCATTTATATCAATTATGGATCTGATGCATTTCTCTTTGATAACAATATATTCTGAATTATTTGTATTTTAAATTTACACAAAAAGCCTTGGGGATAGTAACTCATTTTCAGTTACTCCTCTCAGACTTATTCTGGACTCTAGACATAAATCTTAACTACTGTTGCATGTCTTAGATTCACAAAAGGTTGAAGGAAACCTCTGAAGGACATCTTTTTGAACCCCGAGCCCCAAATCAGGGCCAAATTAGACAGGGCTACTCAGGACCTTGTCAGGACATGTTTTGATGGATATCTCACAACCTCTCCAAGACACTGCTGCAATGCATCACCAATTTCAAGGTTAAAAACTTCTTCCTAATACAATTTTTTCTTGGTGCAACTTGTGCTCATTTTTGCCTCTCAGCCTTTCAATATCCAAGAAAAGTCTTGATTCTCTTCTCTGTACCCATCAGGTACAGAGACTGTTCTCTGTACAGAGACTGTTCTCTGTCACCATTAGGAAGCTCGGTTTGTATTTACTATAAAGTTCAGCTTAGTCTGAAACCTAAATACTTCAGAATTTGAGACTATGGCATGATTAATTTGGTGTCCTTAGCTATTGTCTTCCTGTTACTGGTTACGTGCAGTATCTCCAAAACCAAAAGATATTCCAGCACTGTGGAAGCTTACTATGATAAGCTTTAGATCTGGCAATAAGAAACTGGAATAGTGACGAAGGAGTTAACACCACAAATTTCAAATTAGGCACAGTTTCAGTGAAAGCCCTCTGATTATTGCATGTATGGGCTTCCAAGGTAAAATCACATTATTTATGCTCTACTGGTAGTCAATGCTCAGAAATTGTTCTTCTTGCTCAACTATCAACTGTTATTTCATTAGCCTGAGAATCCTGGTGCTCTGAAATGATGTAAAGGGAATGTGTGCATTGGACTGGGTTTAGCTTCAGTGGACAGGGCTTGCCTGCCCTACATTACTAGTGTGAGCAACGTCTGTTTCTTAAAACCTTCCATGTTGCTTTAGGTTTTTGTATAGAAGTTAAACTTTCAGTACAGACTGATACAGGAAGTGACAGCCCATGATCCTACTTGGAGGACAGTAGAAAATAAGGGCAATATGCCCAAGTGTCTGTATATACTTCTTCTAGCAGTGTTGATTTAATATTAACTTGGAATCTTTGATTTATAATTGTTGTTAAAGCAAGTGTATGAAAGTCATACCTCCTTGGAAACACGTGTTTTGGCTACAATTCTGTGATTTTAGTTTCCTCAAATTCTATGAATTTCCCCTACATCTGTTCAGATGACTTTCTTTTCAGTTACTCTTCGTGCACACTGAAGGCTTCCCTGTCACTAGAGCTGAGAGCTAGACAATTCTCTCCCAGTATCCCAGTCATGAGGAAAGAGGAAGAAACCAAGCTGTTTTAAAAGCAAAGCAGCAGTGAGCAACTGAGGGTAAGTGGCAAAAGAGGAGGGGTATTTTCTAAAACTCAAACACATGAAATCAATAAATTTTTAAATCTTTTCAGTTCTTAGGCTGTACAACAAGGTATCATTGCTGCAGGCTGTGAGGGTGTCATTAACATCTCAACCCACTGCAGCAGTAGCTGGGTGAGCCCCAGGGCAGCACCCAGTGAAGTCAGCATGTGAAAAGGTAAGCCCGGACCACACATACAGTGAAAAAGATAAAAATGATACAATACTCAGACTTCTGCTTATTTTGTAACTGACAGCACATTAACCTCTTCAAACTTGGCTTTTGAAACAAGAGAGGTGGAGGACACTATGGTTCTGGGGGGTGGGACAGTGAGGCAGGTGTATATATAAACAGCATGGAAGCATTCTGTGGCTACACTGTTTAGTATAGGTCAGACAGGTTTAGCAACAAAGACCTAATCCACTCGTAAGTCTCCTGATCTTTTCCACCACATGAAATCTGCACTCCAGGTGTCAGTATGCTGTGTCTGTATCAGCTGTATCCATGCCTTTGGCAGATTTCAATTTGATAGCTTCCTTTCAGCTCCCAGTGACCACTTCATTAAGCTCTGCTGCAACCTCTAGGTCATTTGGGATAGAAAGCCTGCATGACCAGACCGTTACTGCTGTGTTCAGAAGAGACAAGTATTACAAGTATCCAAGCAGTATTACAATAGGAACATAATAAACCAGACACATCACTGGGAACCTGTCAACTGACAATGGCTGATTTAAGTACAAGTAGCATAAAAAGTCTTGTCACAGAATCAAAAAATTCTCAGATTTCATTTGTGAAACAACTTGCCAACAAAATGGCTTGATTATACCATTTGCAGGGTTGTCCAGTTATAAGGATTTAACTATACATGGAGATTAATTTGGAGGATAGCAGGCTGTGAGTCCACTTTTCACCTCAACAGGCTTTAGATAAAAATGTCCTGTGCTTCTAGCTGGCAACATACACAGGTGCTTATATTACAGATTGTACAGGTTTTTAGCAACTCTAGACTTAACAGCCACTCTGATCCTTTGTGCAGTAGCTAAGCAGAAAAGGCATATACTGACTCCGAATGATGTGCCAGTAGCTGCTTAACCTACTGGAACAAAGTTATTCAGAGTTCCCTGAAGCTCCCCTGCTTCACCCAGATTACCGTGTGTATTAAAAAACCTACAACTGTGCATGAACTGTGGCTCTTGCTACACCATTTACCCCAGCAGTACTCCCTGGACATCAAAGGATACATGCCACAAAGCCAGTTTCTTATAATCGTGAAAGCATTAGCAATGCTCTAAACTTAACAAGACTTGATATTTCCTGTTTACCCTGTGTATTGAGTAGAGCCAGGGAGTGACTGTTTCAAGGGTAAATGGTTGAGGGAGATAGGAAAGGTTAAAGAAATCACTGAGCCATATTGAATCCATTAACTCTTATGAAGTGTCACTGACATGAACTAATGATCTCACACCAGTAGCATATTCACTGTCTGAATGAGACAAGTGCACTTGGTACCACAGAAGCCAGGTACTGTTACAATCTCACTTCCCTTCTTAATCTTTCTTTTTTAAAATGTTTCTCTTTTAAAAAAATCCCTCTTCTAATCTCATGTACTGAATTTGGCTCACTGCCCTGTAAGCAGTTATTCCCAACTGACCTCTGCATGAGAGCAGAATCAGGCCAGATTTTAGCAAAATATCATAAAGTTGGGCTTTTCTGATTAGTGTTACTAAAATAGGGCAGGAAAGGACCTTAATGCACCTTCTCTTCTATCCATATCCCTATGCTGCATCAGTATCACTGGTGACAACTGTTTGTTTAACCTGACCTTAAAGACCTCCAGTGATGGAGACTCCAAAAATTCCCCAGGCAACTGATTCCAGGTAAACCAAGAAGTTTAAAATGAAGAAACAGAACATGATTTAAAAGAGTCTGACCCACTTTTGTGTATCTGAGTCATGATATCAAACTCCATTCCAGGGTGGAAGAAAGTGTACACTGCTTTACTGAATTCCTTTTTGGAGACAATCGGTATGTGCACAGGTGAGATTCAATGCAAAAAAGCCACTGAATTTTGCTTTCTATAAAGGTTTGTGAAAATTGCTTCAGGCAAGTGTGGAGCTGGGCAAAACACACTGAGGAGAATATCTAGTGACGACTTTGGTGACAGTAAAAGGTACCATCCACTGCCGAGTACACTGCTGTAGAACCCTTCTTTGGCCCTTCAGTCAAACTCAGTACACTCTATGAAACCACAATATATTCAAGCTTTTTTCAATATATACTATATTCAATATATATAAAGCTTTTATTGGTTTCCCAGTCTTTGGGGAAAACATGTTTGTTCATTTTTAGACAAATGGAAGGGACACATACATGTTGAGGACTGGGAATGAAAAAAGCCCACAGAGATACCAAGTGTCCTGTGATGCAGCAAAGCTTGTTCCCACAAAAACCCAGCTGAGAGCTCTCCAGAGATGCTGCTGATTACTGATTAGGGACTGATAGCTATTTTGCATGCTGTCTCTAGCCCATGCTTTAATACTTACTGACCATAAAGTTGAGCAGTTTTGGGTAGGAAAACTGAGGAAGATAACTTCTCTTGTGCAATTCTGTTAAATAGTTTTACTGCTATAATTTATGTTACCTGGATACGGAATAGGGTGTTTTTCTTCTTCCAGTCACAGCTGTGGAGAACTTTTATTAAACAAGAGAGGCTAGAGAGTCAAAATAAAGAAGGAAAAAAAGCTAAGGCTGAATAAAGTTAGAAACAGACAAATTAAGAAATTGGCCTGGAAGGCCGGTGTTTTCCTGCTGTACCTTTTGGTTAGAGTGCACTGGGAAGAGGGCTAACATACAGCAGAAGTGATACCCCAACCCAGAAACGCACCTGGGGTGGCCATTTGCTTGTTTGAATGCCTTTTGCTGTTCCCTTGGGGAAGAGCATGCAGGAGACCTGACCAACATCAGTCACTCAGATATGAGCGGGCGTGTTCTGTGCACGAGCTGGACAGCAACTCTCTCAAGAACTGGTGAGTGTGGTGGTAGAACATGAGGCAATAATTCTACCGCCTGTTGGTAACACTGTCTGTTTCTCTCCATAATATCCATTTTGCTTCTAATATGTACAGGGAAAATGAAATAAGGGCTTTGACTGCTTCCGCACTCTGGGAATATCCAGATTTGTGTCAAACCTCTGAGATTACATACTGTAAATAATTCATTACTCACACAAAAGGGCAAAAGTGCTCCCCAATCTTATTAACTTGATGTTTCTTAAAGCCTTTTTTAATCCTGTTTTATAGAAAGAAAATATTACATCTATATTTATATTTAGCCCTACATATGTGAAGTATCTTTCAGCTTAAACATAGAATACTTCTACAAGTTTAATTTCCCATGGGATTTGAGCTTCCTCTCTCCAATTTCTTATTAACAGATCGGTCACAGAGGTCCCAACTTTAAGACTATGAGTAAGTTATATTTAGATTCCCTGCCCTAAATCCATTGATTATAATACAAACTATTTTTTACTTTTTGTATCAAAATATTCTCACCAACTACAAAAGTTTTCTTTCAAAATACTTGTTTAAAGAAATCAAGAAATGAGCAAAGGATGACTAGAGAGCACACTGAGGTTAACACAAGACCCTTCTATCTCTGCAACATAGAGTGAAAATTTTGAGGTAAGCTCATACAGACTTCAGGAGATCCGAAATGGGTCTGGAAATGTCCCCCAGGAAAACAGTTTCTTTTAAGAAACTCAAATTTCCACCAAGCTGGGCCATGCAAATAACAGTTAATTCACACTTCTGTCCATTTCTGAGATACCAGAAGTGCTGCAGCAGCAGCAGAAACTCAAGTGTTCTCAAGGTAATGTACTGGAAACTGTTCAAATGAAAACTAAGAGGGGCTATTTGGAGACTGCCCTTCAACTGTGGAATCTGCCGAATTATAAACAATGAGAGAGACAGAGGGATGGAGACTGACACCACTCCTTCCAGAGAACATCCACAATCAAACCTGGCATTTACTCACGGGTGTTATTCTATTGATTTTAATGGGCTTTTCCTAAAACTACTCAGCTAGAAATGAAAGGAGAAAGGTGTACATCCTTGATTTTCACTGTGGCATCCAGTTTCTTCAAAGCTAACACCATGCTTCTGTACAGCCTAAGTGTCTTGGGCTTGTTTTGTTTATTGGCATGTTTGTTTTTAAATGCAAAACAACAGGAGTGGGACAGAAATTAAAAGTAACAACTAATAAAAACAAAAATCTGCCTGTGTTGTTCTTGGTATTCCCCATAGTGTTAGCTTGAAGCCCTCCAGGGAAGGTGAAACAAACAGCTGTCCTGGCTCCAGTACAACCAGAATCTCCTCCTACACAGACAACTGCAAGCATGGGGAGCTTGAGAATCTGTTATAAATACCCTGGGTTGGCAGCCCTGTGAATTTAAAGTGATAAAATTAAGGGGCCATTTGACAGCAGTTACAGATCTCTTCAGTAACTGACCTCTGTAGCTGTGAATTTGTACATAAAACGTTCTGAGCTATGAACGACCAAAGCACCTTTTCCCCCTCTGTAATTCACACAATTCTCTCTGTGAGAACTGGTGGCAAGCTGCTTCGTCAGTGAGGTTTGTCTGTACAGTCAAAGTGTGATGCAATAAACAGCGTGGCAATAAACAGACTGTGATCCAAATGTGAAGCCCCTATTGCAATCATTGGCCACGTTAACACAAACATCCATAAATCTGTTTACTCTTTACACATCTGGTTTGCTCAGAAGTTGCTTTATGTGCCATACACTTTCACATGGATACAAACCTCGTAAAGAAGTCAGGCTTCATGCAGCAGAATCTTGTATTTAATAAAGAGCTATTTTTCATACATACCTACAGAGGCTGGCATTTCTCCCCACTGTAAAACAGTCTCCTTTGTGAAATGCCCATATATATCAATGTAGATGCCTTCATCTTCATAGGTGAGCAAAAGCTCCATTCCGCTGGTGTTCGGGAGGATGATAATGGCATGTGGGCGAATAGTCCCCTGGATCTAGAATCATATTTTACTAAGATTTATATCAGAACATGGACTGCAATTTTAGTGATGACATCAATCTAACTAGCTTGGCAGAGCAATAAAAACAACTGGTTCATGGAAAGTGAAAGAAATGCCCGTTCTCAAAGGCTGAATAGTTTGCTAGTGAGCCTCTGAAACAGGCTTTCTCCCCTCCTCCCCCCTTGAATATGACAGTAGGCTTGCAAAACATATCACTGTTCAGTATTTCTCTTTAAATTTACCAGTGTTAATTGGTTTCAAGAAGCCATGGAGCCATTGAGACACAATAATATTTACTTAGTCACTCACAAAACACTTGCAAAATATAAACAGAAGAAAGGTGAAATGAATTTAAATTCACAATTATTTCAGAAGACAGAGGAAGGACAGAAGCTTCCACATTCCAGGAGATCAGTGCTTTCACTTTCCATGATATTTCCCTATCACTACTCACAAGTTAAAACCTGCAAATTCAACAATATTCACTTTGCTGTGAAAAGTTACCTTTCAAATACAAGCCACTCTCTGTCCTTCCCTTCCCAAATCCCTCACTACAAACAGTTCCCCTTTAACTGCTGTTGGGCACACCTCTCTGCAAGCCACAGGAACAGTGCATTTCACTCACACGAATCTCTTCCAGAAGCCAACATGTCCCAAACAAAAAAAAACCCACAAAAGTTGAGGTATACAACCATGAAGGTGGGATTTTATGGAAGAATTTTCAAAAGAAAAAGAGGACAGCCTTAAAAAACAGAAACAAAGCATTTCCTTGTTTAAAGCGCTACTCAAAACAGGATGTTACATAGTAAATTAAACCACCACAATTAATATTTTTATAGGAAGCATATGACTGGAGCTTTACATCATTCTCACAAGCCAGCCACACACAGAGATGGTTTGGTTTTTTCCTTCAAGCACAGACACTTATACACACCGTGAGGGCACAACGAACAGTAAAAGAAGCACTGAAGCTGTACTTGCCAAACCGAATACACTCAGGCCAACCACTTGACTCCGTGCCTCCGCAACAACTATCCGCAACACTAGAACGGGTATCCAGAGCCGCAGAGCAATTTTAATGCGTTGCCTTGGTACTCGCATGAGTGATCGGAGCAGGTAAGAGATGAAGATAGAGGTGGGGAACCAGGAAAAGAGGCTACCAGAAAGCAAGAGTATCTAAAGTCAGCCTGTTAAAAAAAAGTCTGGGCTGTTGCTACCAAAAAGCTCCTTGAGAGAATTATCCAATTCTAGCAGATGCTCTTTAAAATTATAAAATACCAAAGAAGATAGAGCCGCTGTAGCAGTCGATTTATTTCAGGTCTAAGACTCTAAAGGGAAAATGTATTTTTAGTACATGCTAACTTTTGGTCGAAGAGTGCACACAAACTCAGTCAGTCTTAGAGGTGCCCCACATATTCAGGGCAGTCACCTGGGAAATCTCTCTCATCAGGTACCTAATTGTATTTGCAGCCTGTTGAAAAAGTAAAGCCTCTAAGAAGGTTCACTTTTTTCTTTGCCTTTCTTCTCTTGGGCAATTATGCTAATGATCTCTTTGACAAGTCACTGTTCACCTTGCTCAGCAACCCACTTCCAGAATGGCATGTGGGTACCACGCTTCAATTTATAAACTGATGTGAATTTATCATAGCTGCATAGTTAAAGGTACTAATTGTCAGATTAAATAAACCCTCTAACAATACACCCTCTAACAGGACAAATATTAAGTCCTTTAAAAAAAACCCCAATGCAGAAATAAACAGTACAAGCCTTTAGCAGGTGATTAAACAGTTCCAACAGCTAAAAAAGTCACTTCTCAATGAAGAGAAGTTTCTAAACTTAGCAGCCATCCTCAAACACTGTGTCCATCGGGAACACAGGTCTGACAGGACACGGAGGCTGTCACTTCCAGGGCAGCAGAGTGATCAAATGGCTTGCACAGGAGGCTTTTCATTTGAGTTGAAAACGTGGGACTGAGAGTGGAGAAAAGTTAAAAAATAAATGGATTCATGGCACACGCTGCAACATGCAGATCTGGGATGAGATTTCTTCAGACATCCCAAGCGTAACTTTAGGACACGTGGCCTTGGGATGCAAGGAGGCCATGGCACCTGGATGAGCTAACCCTCGGCCCCTGTGGAGCACTGTTGACTTCAGGGAGGTTTCCAAGTGTGCACAGAAGTTTCCTTGCCAGGAGCCTCCCATTAGACTGGAGCCAGTCCGGAACCCGCCAGTTTACTGAATATAAGCCCCCAAGTTTCTCTGGCTTTTGAAAAGAACTATCTAGAACAGCGAAAAAATAAGCAAACAAACAAACATTAAAACCATAGCACAGACTTCGTATTGGACAGCCCCATGCCCTGTCATTCACTTCTGCAGGGGAATTTGCTGCATTTGAGTTTAAGCAGCAATTCAGTGATCATCATCACCTCCAACAGAGCCACAATGCAATCAATTTGTACACATCAACCTCAAATCAACATTTTCATGCCAACTTCTTGACAATCTAACGAGAAAGTCTAGAGGAAAATGTAAAACCTCTTCTGAATTTACAGACTGATTTAACAGGCAACTGAATGGTAAGAAGATCCACAAATTTATTTAATCCAAAATTGGGTTTCTGCAAAGTCTGCACAGTGGCAGATTGTAAAAGTCAGCTAAATTCATGTAGATATTATTGTGTCTTTGACTGTTAAGTCCTCAATTTCCAGGACAAATCGATTAGAAATAGCAGTGTCCATACAATAGGCTTTCTGATATTAAACCATTAAAATTGATATCCTAAATGTGATAAAAGCATTTTAACAGGACTTCAGTGTTATAGAAGTACGAGAAAATTGGTTTTCTATTAGCTGTCATAAATAATTATTCTCTTATGCTGTCTTTTGAAAAACAGCACAACTCTTAACCTGATCATCATCAATATACAGCCCAAAGAAAAAGGCAATAATGTTGGTTTTTGGATTATCTTACGTGTGTTGGAAGATACAGGTCATACACAGATCCAGAGTCCACATCAATAGCGTGAAAGCCCACTAGTGACCCATATATAACCTTCAATCTCTGTCCATTTTCAACAGTCAGGTCAACTGATAGTGGTTTGTGATGAAGTGAGGTAAAGGACTGGAAAAAAGAAAAACAAAATATAACAAAATAAACCTGCTGGTTTACAGATCAACATATACAATCTTAAGAATACTCAAAACTCAAAAGTTAGACAGCTATTTTTGTTAAATAGTAGGTTATATTTAAGGAGCTGAGTATCCATCATCCACTGAGTTGCAAGGACAGTTTGATAATTCACTTGTGGCTTGAAAAAGAAATCCAGATTCTAGAAATGGACTAGGCAAAAATTAGGCTGAGTACCATTTGTGTTCAGTTTCGTCCCTTCTGAGGGAAATCAGCATCAACTCTGAATTCAAATGTACGTTTTGGCACAGCACACGTGCTGCATTTGGCTGGGGTAGAGACAAACAAGTTACTCACGTCTAACAATCGTGACAGTTTTATGCCTGCCATCTCCAATGTATGTCAAATGAGCTACACTTTCTTTAGAAGAATACTGATTTTATCTTTAACTCGAATAAATGTTATACAAAATAAAACAAACAAAAAAACCCCGAAAGCAAAGAGCAGATGAGAGACAGCGAGAGACACTGACACATCTGAACCAAAGGGATTTTCACCTACCTTAAAAGCCATGAATTTGTGATAAGGCTTTGGAGCCCAAGCATAAACCTCCACTGAGTTTTTCAAAGCAATTACGAGGAATTTTATTCTCTCATATTTTACTGTAATACAAGAAGAACAATTCCTTAGGTACCAGACAGACACTTAAATCAAAGGCCATCTCATCACATGAAATAATTTCAATGGATTACTTGTAGAGGTAGACATTATCCAGCAAGGGAGACTAATGCATTCAGGACATCAATGTTTAATACCACCAGTGACAATACCTTGACTGGAAACCTATAGTTCATTTATTTTCAGTAAAGCCAAATGACTGTTAACAACATTTATATATTGCTTTTCATATAGCAATCAAAAAATAATAATAAATCTTACCACTCAGAAAAAAAAAGGTCTTGACCCTGCATCCAAGCCAACCTATTTGATTTTTTAAGTCTGAATGCACCCCAACAGCTCGTTAGGAATAAGCTGCTGTTGGAGGACTGGTGGTTGCCGGCTGAACAATTCTGTAAGACACTACAGGATGAATTTTCATTTCACTGTTCATCTGTGGGGTTAAATCCCCATTTACCAGTGTGGGCGAAGGACTCCCAGCTTTCTGACATGAGTAAGCATTTACGAGATGAGCAATTTCTCCACAACAATTAAGGTCATGTTGGGCCCATCAAGAATAAATGAAGAATTGTGCATTGAAAATTAAGGTTTCTTTGGCAGAGTAAAAACACAGTGTACAGAGACAAGCATTTGCTTTAGAAGCAGGATGTTATCTCACATAGGCAGAAAACAAAAAAACCCAGCAAACTCCACCAAAATACAAACCAGCACATTCTTTTCCTCTTTTACCTGGAAAAATGGCTGTAAAGCCAAAGGTCAAGATACAAGAAGATTCACCAAGAGAAAAACAGCAGCAGTTGTGCTGTCAAAAAACTAAGTCTGGCTTGTCATATGTAAACACAGAAGGTCCTACCACATGCTTGCCTAATTTTAGGATAAGTATTTTGGTTTGTGTTTTTTTTTTAATAACACAGCAAACCCAATGATGACCAACTGAAGTGGAATATGCGGGTGCTTAGCTGTAATCACAACTAAAG